TGAGGCGAGGAAAAGATCTTCACTGTGATTCGGATCCCAACTGGTCAAATGGCTGGCTTGATGATTCAAGACACAAGTTCTTTCTTCTTGTTAGAGACAAGACCTACTCTTTATTCATCTTACACGTTCCATTTCTTGTAGACATTTTTCTGACCTGAATTTCAGAAGATACCTTTGATCTTTGTAATAGTACCCATCCATATTTTTGAGAGCAGGTCTGCTTTTTCAACCATTTTAGCAGGATCTCTTGCCAGCGAGATCTTCAGAGTGTGCTTTTATTTAGTACTCGTACTTTATCTTCCTATACATGCATTTATTTTCTAAAAATGAAACTATATAATCTAACCTTCAATACTATGAAAATGTAAGGTTTTTTTCAAACATATACGTAGTTGTAATTTTAACAAAATTACTCTGTCCCCAAACTACATTGATATCAAGCACACATCAGTCTGTGTGTTGAATCTTGGGGGAAGATCTTTGCTGTTTCCTGCCTGAATAGATATGCAACTGTAGATTTGTATTGACAGATACAATCACCAAAGATACGTGCTAAAACTATGGGGTTTTTTCACTGATACAAATCCAAATAAAAAGATTTCCCTTTACTTTTGGCTTGTAAATAAAAATATCATTTAGGAGTTGGCATGTGAAATGCTTACTAGATTTCAGTTGTAGATAATTGGGTCCAATTAAAAGATGGTAACAGTTACCTTTTTAGAATTTGAGACTGGAAAAATTGTCCAGGCTTTGAACCAATTATGTTTTTCAATTACCAATTATTCTAGTTACTATTTTGTGACAAAACCTCTTTATTACTGCAACAACTTGGCAGTAACAACTGTGTGGTAAAACAATTCCTCTGAGTAGCCGCCCTGCTGTTGCAAAATGCATGTTTAATGATAAAGCATAGACCTACAGCTGAATCGTCTTGACCTCGGTTTACATTACTTCTGCTAAGGACAGTGGGCCTTAGTGCATGGTACAGAATTTCGTGGTAGATCGCTCAGTGTTTGTTTCAGAGAACAAATTTATATCAGGCTAAAAGAACATTTTTAACTGTTTTCAGGCTCAGTTTAATTTCTGAGATTTTCTGTATTTCACTTGAATAAATGGCAGAAAAATAGCTATATTACAAGCACTAATTTGATCAGCTGTAAATAGCAAAAATGCATTCCCCAAGCATGTTCTGGCAGTCTTAATTAGAAAACTCCTTTGTGCTGTTGTTATCTGTAGTTAGTGAGATTCTTTGCAACAACAGAAGGATGGAAAGTATCTGCATTCAGCATTTTGCTCCTGTGTTTATGACAGTGTGGTCCTGCCTGTGAAAGATGATGTATTTATTTAAATACCTGTGCAGTACAGAAGTCATAATAAAAGAATGCAGCTTCTACTTAAGAGCAAATTTTAACATAATTGAAATTATTTGACTGCAAATACTGTTGCTGATGATTTATGACCAAGAAGACTTATGAACTGAAAAAGTGCTAGTGAATGCGGTACTTTAAAAACGGAGATTTTCTTGGGGGCTTGGAAACACAGCAAGTAGGAAGGGTGAAAGGAGAATGAAGGCAGCGTAGGGGGGTGAGGCCAGCTCTCTGGGGCGGCCCCAGGCTGCGGCTGTGTCTGCAGGACTGGGAGCAGGCTTGTGGAATCAGGCAGTGCTGCTCCTTCCTCCGTTACACGCGGTCGGGTGAGACTGGGGAGGAGGATTACTCCACGGCTGATGTGGTCTCATGTGCCAGACATCGTTGTGACTCCTTCAGTGGAAGCTTTCACAACCAAAGCTGTTCCACAAACAACAACTTCTTCTCCGAGATCTCCTGTGTGCCACGCTTGCTTGTCTTCTGCCTCACACCACTGGTGGTAGCACATCCATGTCCTTACCAGTGTGATGATGGGATACTTTAAATCCTCTGGGTGGAAAGATGGGAAGACAAGGCTGTTCCTTCAGCTAGTCAAAGAATCCAGTAGAAACAAAAATCTCAGTGAAAAGAGGAAAAATAATAAAATCTATGTTAGTCAAGAAGTTGATTGGTATTGCACTACACTTGTATTTATTGTTATCATTCCATTTTATTCTAATGTTATGTGTCACCACGTATTAAAGTTTTTGCTTTAACGTTTCCCAGCAGCTTGTATAGACTTCTGTTCCACACATTTGTCCATACTTCGTCAGTGCAGCGGGGCACGGAGCAAGCTGTTGCTCTGTTCCGTTTGAGTAGTAACTGCACTCAGTTGTGGAGCACTGGGTGAGTGACTCTGGAGAGTGGATTGCATGAAGGGTCAACGATGCAGCTTTGGTTTTTGGATAAAGTATCAGCTTCCAAGAGTTTTCAGACTTCGTCTCTTCATTTATCAGTAGATCAGTTAACATTAGAATCACTTGCTACGCAGTTTGCGTGTGTACCATGTATGTTGCTGAAAAACAATGTGACTGATAAAAAAAGAAATAGCAAACCATATAATACATAGTTTTCTTATTTTCACACTGATCTTGATTATTTACATGCATTAAAATAAAACTGGAATGTGAAACAGGGACATCTGTGTAAGTTCATATCTAGAAAACAAAACAAAAAGTCTGTATTTGGAATTGTGTGAACTTTAATTAAACAACACAAGCACTGCCTAACTTTTTGAGGCCTGTAAGTATGAATGCCTTCAGCAGTTATAAATGTTACAGCAATTACAGTTACATGTTATTAAGTAATCACATGCAAAGAAAAGATTTCCTTAAATTACAAAAAATGAGGCTATTTTTAGTGTACAGGATTAGTTGCCAGTGTTTGCAAATGCACCTTACTTAACACTAGTTGATTTTTTTTTTTTTTTTAATTTTGCGAATCACTACTTTGAGAAATGTCATTCAGAATCTTTCCTCATTTTCTTACTTCTACTGAAAACATTGCTGTTCCTGGTAACTTCTCCTTATGAGAGTTAAGAACAGAACACAACGCCAGTAGAGATTCTAGGAACTCCACAGCAGTTCTCCTGAGTTCGAAGGAGCAGCCCTGCTTTGGTGATGAGTTAGTCTGTTTTACCTAAGGAAGGAATAATCCTCAGATTTGCATCCCATGCATGGCAGCATGGCTTGAACCTTTCTCATACAAGGAATTTATTCAGTGTTGTCAAATGTGTTTATGGTGTTTTGTTGGTAGGTTGTAATTTTTTTTGCAAGAAACAAGAATTTGTTTCAATGGCTTTTCTTACACAGATAAACAGTACAGGTTGGATAGACACCTCTTGCAGATAATAGTCTTCCTTTGAGAGCTGCAGTTGTCTAAGAATGGTTTTGGCTTCCTGCCTAAAGAACATACTCTGACCTTTAAACCAGGTGATCAGAATGCTTGCATTTCTGAGATAGTGCGTAATGGCTGTAGCACAAACCAGCCAGCGCCTGGTTTCATCGTAAACCTATTACAGTCTTACGTTAGTGTGAAATGTGTAGATGTTATATTATAGTTCACTGTCATTGCGATCCTCGCAAGAAGAGGTGTAAGCTGGATGTAAGTTACAGGATGCACGGCGTTCTGCTGGTTGTTAGACTTACATAGTATAAAATCCTGACATCTAAAATGCTATAGAAACTCCAGTACAACATTTTTATGAGAGTTATGATATAATCTTTAAAAAAGCAATTCACTGTATGAAAACTCCATCACAAAATGATTGTTTATTAACATGATAGTAAAAAACTGGAGAAGTATTAATCCATTCTGGAGTCTGTGTACCCAACATCTGGAAAGTTGGAATTGTGAAGAAATTGTGGGAGTAAGTCAGCATTTCCTCCTGTGAAGACTGGTAATTCTGGATCTCGGAAAGAATCACATAAATTGTTAAGGCACTGCCTCTGTGCTGCTGTTACGCACTCCCTGCTAAGACGGTAGTATTTTATGGAGATTGGCTGTTAGGAGGAGAGTTCTGGTCCATAGAAGAGACATTCTGCCAAGGAGAGAACTCAGCATCCTGTCAGTGGGTGTTTTTGTGCCACAGGTTTTTATTAGGTTGCATGATTTTCCTTTATCTCCAAGAAGGAGAGTCGTGGGTCTTTTACATATTGCTAACATATTTCTATAGGCGTAATAAACACAGATCATCAAAAGATCAAATTTTACGCATATTAGGACTATTTAGTTACATTGTGGAATTGAAAAACATTCTTCGCACCATGTACGTTTTTTCCTTTCTATTTCAGGATGCGAAGTTTGTAGAAGAGCGACGCAAGCAGCTACAAAATTACCTAAGGAATGTAATGAACAAAATTATTCAAACTGTGCCAGAATTCACAGCCAATCCCAAAAAAGAGACTCTTATTCAGCTGATGCCCTTTTTTGTGTAAGTATCTGTCAAGTAGTCAAGAAAATATTAAGCTTTTGTCATCACAATTTAATTTAAAATATAATGCCATCATCTCCAAAACCTTTAAAACAAATTTTTTTTAAATAGAAGGCTCCCGTTCAAACTATAAGTGCTTTTTTTATATTTAAAGGAATGTATGACATATGTAATAATTTTTATTTATTTCAATGGTGATTTTGAACAAAAATCACTGTGTAAAGCTTTCAAAAATATCTAAATGACCTTAAAATCTGCATTCATTCATATTCTTCAAATATTACCTGGTTATGAGTTCTTTTATTTCGCCTTTTCCAGTTTCGTTTTGCTTTTGTTTGTGTGGTGTTTGTATTTTGGTTTTAAAATTTATGGAATGCGGGTGGAGCACTATTAGCGTACTTACTACCCAAATTAAAAAGTCAAGCTGTTGAAATCTTTCTAGCTGAATTTTTCAGTCTACTGGTGCATGTTCTGATTTAATTAATGTTAACATTGAATATGTCCAGAAATAGTTTGACGCATTCATCTGTTAAGAATCTCGAAACAAACCCTTTGATATACAGTTGCACAAGGGATATGATCTCTTAAAATCTTTCCATTTTACTGTTAACGTTATTCTTTAGAGTACTTGTAAATGATATTTAGGACTAGTTAAGAAATAATATTAATGAAAATTTTTTTTTGAAAGTTGTGTTAACTTAGTTCTTTCACTAATAATTTTTCAGTACAATGATTTTCCAGTACTGCGCCTGTACAAATGATGTATAGATTGAACACACATTCGTAGTAAGCCATCATATTAAATTTGCTGTCCACAAGCCTCTGCACAGGGTTTGTGCATTGATGCCTGTGAATCCATGGATGGATCAATTTGCAGAATCAAGGCCAATTTAAAATTAGTATCTTTCAGCAGAAGTGTACATTCTTAGCTGTACCATTTGCATGGTCTTGTGCAGAGTTTCAGATTTTCAAGTTGAAATTTTATTTCAAGAAAGCTATATTTATTAGAAAATGGGATAGATAAATGGAAGAATGCCAAGATGTATTTTGTGGCATTCGTGTTCTTTTAATTTTTTTCTTGGATTTGAAAAAGCAAAAATCAATTTGATGAGACATCTTGATGACGATGTTATAAATGGCAAAATGATGTTTGTAGGGACAAACACCTCAGGAGACTTAACTTTTGCCCCTAAGAACCTATCTGTAGAATTTGATGAAGGGCTGTAAAGACTGAAATGCTTTCAAGTACCTCCAGTTGAGGGGCCCATATGTGGCTTTTTGTTAAGTCATTTTTAAGAAGTTGTCCTTCATATTGTACTTCATTTTGTTGTTTTAAAGAGTGGGGCAAATACAAAATACATTTGCAATTGAATTTTCAACTCAAATAATTTTTGCTCTTCCCCTCCAATTACATTTTATTTCAAGATGGTTAAGTATAGCCGTGTGAAGTAGTGAACTGATAATTTCTTGTCAACTTCATTTCATAACTTGCTGCTTTAAATGTAGAGCAGGAAAATAAATTCCAAACAGTGTGCTATTTAGGGTCCCATCTTTTCATTGGCTTGTTATAATTGATTATCCTGAGTTCCACACAGACCAGTGGTAATGCAGAATAACATCTGCAGGTTGAGGCTGGCTCGTTTTCCCTCCTCAACTAGTTTGCTTATGAAAGACGTTCAGTTTTGAGCTTTGTGGGGTGTAAGATATTTTAGTAAGTGATGATGATGGTTTCAGTTCTACACTGAGTTGATGTGGTAGTGGTGATTCCCTCAACAGTGCAAGCGGTCGTAAAGATAGCAACACAACTAATACTAAAATCTGACAAAAGTGGACAGTGGTTTCAACCAGAAGCTATTAGATTAGGAAATACTGTGGATATTCTAGTTAGAAATACCAGTTTGAAGCTTTGGCCTTAATTGATGGAAAACATATTCATAGTAGCAGTTCATTACTTGAATTGCGATGCATTATTTACATGCTTTAGCCAAAATTGTTTTGTTTGGATATTTTTTGTTTAATTCCACTTATTGGAATCTCCCATGTTTTTAAAAAATCTGTCATTATAACTGTGAGATAATACAGTACTGATGTAAAAGCAATGATACTACTTTTCAGGTGTTTTTTTGGTCTTAATACAGTGTTGTTACAGAAATATTTTATTACAGTATCTTTTTATTCTACGTTGAGAAGTGACATTTCAAGAATAGTCTGTTTATAATCTCTTAGCCACTTATGTTAAAAACAGGAAGGGAAAACAAATTCCCTCTTATTTCTCAGCCCTAAACAATCTTACCTCTGTTGTAAGTGTGTAAATAGAATTTAGATCTCATGTTTTTGTTTACTAAAAAAAGTGCCACGTATAAGGACCTGCAGCGGAAAAGATTTTAAAATCACAACCCGACGTAATGTGTTATACCAATGATGCACAAGTCAGAATAAACACCATTACCCTATTCTGATATAAAAAAAAACCAAACCCAAAACAAACAAAAAAACCCTGAACCCTATTTCTTTAATAAATGTAATGAGCTGCATGAGACAGATACCATTAATTTCACAGAAAGAGCAAAGTTTTATTGAAAAGGCAGCTTATTTAGGTAACCTGTTTTCTCAACATGGGCACAATACAGTATGTGAAACATTGTGGTACAAAATAAAGCAAATATCTTTAAGGAAAGAAATTTATTCAAGGAGATTTGCTCAAGGAAATTTCTCAGCACCATTTGAATTCAAGAATTCAAGAATTTGTAAACACCAATATGATGCACTGCACTGATGCTAACCCTTTTTTGGGTATAGCTATATGATAGGTTGCAAAAAGACTATGTTTGTTTTTAGAAGGTGTTTTTTGCTTGGGAGTTGCTTTATTCTCAACACATTGAGTGAAGCAATGGACTATAGTGGATTCAAGAATATTCTTTGATATCTGGACATGATGGCAAAAAAGGTTCTGTTCACATCTGTATCTGTGAATTATTTCCTTGGAGCTTTTTCTCAAATAATAGATGCATCAGCATTCTCTCTTAGCTGGAGTAGATAGTTCTTCATGGGAATAGTAGTGGGATTCTGGAAAAGCTTAGCTGTTGAGTAAAATAACTATGTACTCATCTACAGCAGACAAAGTGGGTTTTTAATGCACTTTTGTACTGAGATATGAGACTCTGCAGCTAGAGCAGCAGCATTAAATTAATATAAAGATCTTTTCAGACAATGATAGAAGGAGCACGTTTTAGAAAGTGCCATCATTGCTAGGCTATAATTTGAATGCTCAGTGTCCTTCATTTTCTAAGAGTCATGACCTGGCACTGTGAGTGAGTAAGAAAAAGCATCTAAAAGAAAATGCATTTCAGTTCCACTTCTTATTGCCAACTTCTCCAGTATTGTCCTTCCCTAACAGGTTTTGAGCTCTGTCAGCGGGAGGCCTTGAACATGCTGGACTCTGTGAAGTGTTGTAACCTTTGTACTGTGCCTGCAATTCTTCTGTTCTGTTAGGTTTAATAATATTTTGGTTTAGTGGTATTTTTAATATAAAATAGTTCTGATATATTTAATTTGTGCTTTATAGCACAAATGTTTGTATAGCTGATGATTATATCTTTATTAATGAAAGAGTTGGCCATTACAAAACATTGAGATATTTGTCATAGGACTGTGCTATAAAGAGCAGTGATACCTCAGTCTAGGAAAAAAAAATTACAGTCTTAATATGCATAAAAATTCTCTAGGGCATTAGATCTGCCTATTAGGAAGCAATGAAATATAAAACAGTCAACTGGTCTTAAAGAGTTTCTTCTCACTGCAAAATATTTAATATGACCACACTTCAGTGTGAAAATGAAAAATCTCATAAAGGTTATGTCTAATTAGGCATCCTATAGATAGAAATTACAGGGTCAGTTTTAATTAATCACTTTTGAGATCTGATTTAGGTCTTAGAATATGATTATGGTGAACAGAAAATAAGATTAATGTCTCTAAGACTGAATTCACTGATTATTAAATGCCGGAAGGAACATTGCCTAAAATTTTTGTGCCTTTGGGGATTTCTTCCTGCCAAATGCAGTGATTTCGTACCATCGGGCACAGATCTGATGAGGCAAAACATTTTAATTGATCTGTATGAAATAGCTTTCTACTACTAGAAAGAAAGAAGTTAATTTTATTTTGAAACTCAGATACAGTTAACAGTTTGCAGTAAAATAATGTGAATCAGTTTGCTAGCGTTTCTCTTCATTATTGTATCAAATGCTAGTGGTTGATCACGGAAATGTAATTTGCTTTGATTCCTTATGCTGTGAACTGTCATTAATGTATTCTTTCTGTTGTCAATCTCTATCATTTGTAATCTCGGTTTGTATATTTTTCAATTTCAATGCTGCATTAGCTCAGTCACAGGTTTGGTCAAATAGTTTCCTTTATAGTCCACTTTCATGTCTTAATGTAAAAATGAGATTCTGGCTCTGGTAATTTGTTGGTTTACATGCTGAATGACAAATTCTTTGTAATAATAAAATTGACATCACAAGTTAAATTTTCCAGTCCATGCAGAGCAAAACCTAAATCAAGAATTGGCACTGCTGAATTAGATTGCTACATCTGCTAGCTGGTGAAGGCCTGTCTGTTAATACTTACTTAAATTCACATTTATTTGCACTCGTGATTGGTACATTACAGATAAATAAACCTCCTTACAACAAGTATACTTGTGTTTTAATTGCATTTTCACCAATATATCTGAAAAATATCACAAACTCTTTGTAAATACATATATAAGAACAGGAGGAATCTTGGGCAACAAGCATCACAATTCTTTGGACCATATAATTGAGTCTTTCAGCATAAATCATCATAATAAGTTATACGATTTCAAGTATGTAAAAAGCTATAAAGCTGTTAAAAGTTGTGAAAAGAAACTCTAAAATGTTGTGATGTTCCATGTTTCTGTCTCTGTGTTTTCTGTATCAAATGTCTTCATTTTTTAGAAGGTAAAGATTTTTCTT